ATAATTTAGAAGTGTTTTAACAATTCCTACGCCAGCATTATTAATTAAAATAGTAACGTCGCCCACTTCTGTTCTTACTTTTTCGGCCACTTTGAAGACTTCTTCTCTGTTTGTTACATCGCATCTGTAAAATTCGACCATATTTTAATCAGTATAGAATATTTAGCTTATAATGCACGGACAAATTATCTAAATTTTTTTTATATTATCAGATATTCGTAAGAAACAAAGATTATTAGCTAACCGATACGCATGTATAGAGTCTTTTCCCATTTTTTTAATCTCGTTCTTTGTCTGTTGGTTGGTTTTTTCATTGATGTCCCAACATACTACTGTGGCTCCTAACAAGGCGTAACCAATTGCTAATTCCTTTCCTATACCGTGACCCGCACCTGTTACCTATTGCAATATTTATTGATGACTAATTTTCTCTATAGCTATATATTGTATGTTGTAAATTTTGTATATACCAGAACAATTTCACTAGCCACACTTTTTGCCTTTACTGGAGCAAATAATTTAACTACACTCTCACAGATGTAATAGAGAACTTTGAAAAGAAGCACAAATATTTCTGCTAAAAGAAACATGCTATCATGTAGCTTTATACTTGCCTGGAAAAATAATTTTTTTAATAAGAATTATTTTTAACGACTAGTATTTTGAACATATTTATAGATAAAAAAATTTGTTTTATTTACTTAATTGTAATTTACACTATTCTGTTATGATATATTTATTCTTATTTCGATCTGCTTTGTTAAGATGTCGACGACTAACTGTTTCAGATCAGATATAGATTCTTGTTGCGCATCCGTGCTGATGATACTTAATGTTTCACTTATATAATGTTATAAAATAATGTTTTACTTAATAAATCATTTTTCTTGTGTAGAAAAGCAATTGAATAAAAGAAGAAAAAGATATAGTCACATTGCAGATATTTTGACGGCAGGATGACAAATGAATCTTCACATTTTTTATACAAACGCTTGAAAAATATTGCATATAAATCCTATGTTAAAAAAGTCATATAAAGTTGATATTTGCATTCAACTTGTAATATCTTTTCTGCGATTTTGATTGGTTATCTCGATGTGGACTGTGCGTTACTTTGTGTTATCGAGCGATTGTTATTGCAAAAGTTGCATATTTTAACGAAAGGTTAGTACAGGTATTTTTTAAATTACTTTTATGTTTTATAGAAAATATTCAAAGTGTCTTCTTAGATAGAATTATAATATATATATTTTTGTAATTGATACCATAAATAGCGCGCATGTAGCGTGTATTTAATAAATATATGAATCAAATGTCTGGTCCTGAATATGTAAATATAATTTTACAGATGGAGAATCTTCTATAATTATTTGAAACATTTTTTGAAACGCTGCAATTGCAAAATGCAAAAATTCTCTTTAATTCTATAATGTCAACTTTAGATCGCCAAAGTCAAAACATATACAATTATAAGGAAAATGACGCAAATGTCCATCTTCGATTCTTACGGGCTTTGAATATGTAGAGTAACTCAAAATAAGAAACTCATATATAATTTTTTATCTACATTCTCGCACGTTTAGAGATTGAAACAACCCTTACAAGCTAAAGCAGTATATTTGGTTTTGAGAGAATATCATCAAAACTTTAAGAGATATAAAAACATGTTTCCAATAAAAGTTTTATGATATTTTATAAACTTTATAATCGCGTATTTAAATTTTTACAAAATATCATATTTCTTTAGGTCCACTCTTTGTTATACTGTTCAAAAATGTTAAGGGATTACTTGACTTTGGTTGAACCAAAGGCAATTTTCAAACGGCTGTAACTTTGTTACAAGAAATAACCAAACATCTGTAGATTAATAATCTTGTTTGTTTTTTTATTTCAGATCACTGAGTATCCAGATTTTATAGGAGCCGTAAGACGATAAACGCTCGAAGACGTCGCGCGAATATTTTTATAACTATTACAATTTTTATTATTTTGACTTAAAAAAATTATTATTATTATTATTATTATTAAATTAATATAAAATTATTATTATTATTAAATTATTATTAAATTTTGACTTAAAAAAGCAATGTCATGCAATTGCAATTACATTAAAAATATAACAAATGTGTGTTTTTTAAAATATCTGTGTGTAATTTTATAACATAATCACTAACAAATACATATGTATATACTTAAAATGATGTGTACTTGAATACCCAGTCAGCAAAATCTGTTCAAACAGATATTGCCAAACGTCTACTACAAATTTTTGTCAGCAGAAAGACTGCAGATTGTATAAAATCTGCAGTCCTTCTGTGATTGTATACAAAACCTGTTACATCAGATGATGATAGCAGAATGTCAGCAGAAATGTTACAAAACCTGCTGACATAATTTGACAGCAGATCTGTAGCAGAAACCGAGCAGGATTACTCGGAATTATTACAGCAGATTGACGGCAGAAATCGAGTAGGACCTGCGCAACGCAGTTTGATGTCAGATTGACGACAGAAATAGAGCAGAATCTGTGCAACGCAGTTTGATGTCAGATTGGCGGCAGAAATTGAGCAAAATCTAAGCAATGCAATTTGATGTTGTTTGCCGCTATGCGGCGTGTTTCTTCATATACAGGGTGTCCGGTAATTGCTGAATTACCTCTCGGATGTAAGTGGAGCGGGTTAAACCAAGTGGAAAAGTCCTCTACCATTTTGCGATTTTCAATTAAAATTTTAATTAAAAAATGTCGGCCAATTTGCACGGCGAGAAGAGACCTGTGGCAATACAGCCCACTGTTATTTGGTTATTAGGCGCGCGATAAAACGTTGGGAGAAGCGCTCTACAATTGACAACGGCAACATACGAGCGGTGCGTAACGCTAGATCCTTGCGTCCTAGCGACCACGTAACAGTGGGCTGTCTCTTCTCGCCGCGCGCTTAGACTCGCGCGAATTGGCCGATATTTTTAAATTAATTCTTCATTAATTATTGCGAAAATCGCAAAATGGTAGAGGACTTTTCTACTCGGTTTAATCCGCTCTATCTGTACTCGAGAGGTGATTCAGCATTTACCGGACACCCTGTATAGAAGAAATCAAATTCCACAGTAAGACTGTAAATCTCTTGTGGAATTTGATTTTTTCTGTCCTATCTTTATTATTTTCATACCCATTTCCCTGATTTACCCGAATATATTCGAACAGTATTATTATATTTACCTTGTAATATCACAGAGAAGCGGTTAATATTATATAATGGATCAATAACTTTTTCTTAATTATTCTTTTGTATATATTTATTTCAGTATCTTTATGGAGCTCACATCGAAAAATAGTGGAAAGACTTTTTACTCCAAACAACTTACAAGGCCAATTTAATATATTTGTAAAACAATCATTAGCACTTATGGACGAATTAGAAGAAGTTGAAGAAAATGGAAATGAAATTATTCTTTTTGACTTTCTATATACATGTAATTTGAACATTGCAAGTGGTAAGAATAAGTAACTCTACTATCTTGTAAAATGTCTACTTTTAGGTATTAAAAAACAATTTTAAGGTAAGAATTAATTGGTAAAAAATACAATTTTTGTATATTTTTGTAAACACTTTTAAAAATTTCTAAAAATAAATTAAAATAAAAATTTTGAAATTTCCCGTAATTTACAATTACGTAACTACAGACTTTAAACGTACATTATTTAGAGTGTTGATTTTAAGTTGTTTTAATTGTATACAGGGTGTTTTATAATGTCCGTGCCAACGCTCGTGTACGGATAGAGTGCGGTAAACTGAATAGAAAAGTCCTTTACCGTTTTGCAATTTTCGCAATAGTAATTGAGATATTAATTAAAAGGGATTGACGAATAATCGCGTGTTGATTGCGGCTAAATCGTAGGCTGTACGCTCTAGGCGTGACAGCAATGAGAATCGCATGGCAACGAAAAATAATAACGCATATCATTCCTGCTCTCGCTACGTGTTATTTTTCGTTGCCATGCGATCCTCGTTGTTGTCACGTTTAGAGTGTACAGCCCACGATCTAGCTACGCGCAACGCGCGATTATTCGTCAATCCCATTTAATTAATATCTCAATTACTATTGCAAAAATTGCAAAACGGTAAAGGACTTTTCTATTCAGTTTACCGCACTCTATCCGTACACGAGCGTTGGCACGGACATTATACAACACCCTGTATATACGTCTCGAAAATAAACATTTATGCCACACGTACCTCAATGTAAAAAAACTAATTCTTAGTAACGATTGCAATATCTTAATACATTAGAATTTTTTCAACTATTTTTGATCAATTTTGTGTAAATTTTGAATGTTAATAAATGTCATATCTTGTGGAACGTAGAGAGAGTGAAAAATTAAAATACAATACGTCACAAAATAAGCTAAGCAACACGCACCTCAATACAACATCGGCTATTTATAACATGAATATAAAATTGTAATAAAAAAGAATGCATAGATTAGTTTTAAGTAACAACAAAAACTATTTGCACAAAAAATTGTTATTTAATGATGTTAGTTAGTTTAACCGATATTAGTTGATCATAATTAATTATTGTTCTAAGCCTTCTCAGAAGCTATCAAGTCAGAAATCAATTATCTCGCTTCATTCTGCAGTCTGCAGAATGTCTTTTCTAATTACCATTATCTTTATCTTTTTCTCTCCTGCCTTTGTATAAATTCAAGCAAATAACTTCTTTATCACTTGTCCTCGTTTTCTACTATAAATGCTTCTGCTACCATTCCACTTGTCAGAGTGCATATTGAAAGCGAAAATTAAAAGAAATAACTTCAATGGTATTCGCAATTCGAGCAGTAACATCAATATCAATTCATATATTTCTATTGTTTGTGAATAACGTCGTTATTGTTGTGAAAATAAATACAGCAATGTTTGTAACTGTTACATTAATAACTTTAATTTGTCTTGGAGTGAGCTACATTTTGTCGAATTTCTGGCGTCGATCTTTTATTAATACAATAAATACTTTGCCAGGTTTAAAAGCATTTCTGTTTATTGAAAGTGCTCTCTATTTTTTGGGAGTAAATACTACCCATACAACAATTCGACGTTCGATGGATGTCTATAGGACGTCCCACTCGACATGTACGGACGTCCAGATGACGTACCAGACATGTTCCGACAACGTTCAGTAGATGTCATTTGTACGTACAATGTACCGCCCTTAGACGTCCTCTGTACGTCCTTAGTACATCCTTTGTACATCTTTAGAACGCCGTCGTATGTCGTTGGTACGTCGTTAGTACGTCATTATCGTGACGTTACTACGTCTTCTATACGTCCTTAGTACGTTATTGTCGTATTTTATTTAGTAAAATATATTTTTATGTCAGTAAAAATAGTGTAATTAAAAGTAAACAAATATTTATAATAATGACAAAAACAAAATTAAAACGCGCATATTTGTTTACATTTTATACTATTTTTACTGACATAAATCATTTTTCAAAAAAAAACGTCCGTAAGAAATCCATTATGTTACGTTACAACGATGCACTAATGCCGTACTACGAAAATATGTTGTTTAAGTATGGGTATATACTTGTACT